GTATATACGACTCATCGAAGCACTTAACGTAAAAAAGAACCGTAAATTCATACATATATATATACCTGTTGAGAATATTATTGTGGCCGGATATTTTATGACGCAAAACCAGTTCCATTAACCCGCTCCAGTGCATTTCAATCGGAAGTGCAACGCACGCGTGGTCGTGTCGACAATTGAATTTTTTCTCCCCCTTCCTCCCGACGACGGTATGAGGTCTTTTCCGAGCCATTCGAGTGCCATTAGACGGTGCACTTTTCGTCTCGGTATCTCACCGGGTACAAATAGTTTTTGGAAAGCGTCCCGCGCCGGTTTTTGTCCGTCTGCAAGTGACGCGCATTATATCAAAAATGGAGACGCCACTTTCACTGTCTTCTTTTTACAACTGGGTGGGCGCCCCATTGTCGTTTGTAAAATACTACCCTAGAGAGAACCAGAGGTAGATACGAGGAGAGGGATAGCGCATTCAGAGAAAGAGAGAAAAATACGCGGAGACACGAAGGGACGTGTGTATATGGTGTGCGTGTATATATATATATATATATATATATATATATATATGTATATATGAGAGAGTAGGACGAGAGTGACTATATATACTATGGAAGAGACGAAAAAAGGGTGGACACGTTTCTTTTAAACTTCCTCCGTTCGTTTATTCTTAAATCTCCTCAAGCCGCATTCGTATTGTCTCTCTTTCCCTCTGCGTATTTATCTCTTGTTCATTCATTCTCCAATTCACCCCCGCTCGAGCAATGATTTAAACTTAAGTCTTCGGGCTTGGGTGGTTTTTTTGGTTTCAAAACAATGCCACCGACACGGGCCGCGTGGTCGCTGCGAAACGTCTCTTTTTTTCACCCTCTCTTCGGTGCGCACCCGGAGGGTAATAAAAGGAAAATCGTGACCCAGGAACCAATGTCCCCCGGAATTCGCACTAATTAAAGGCCATATTTTAATCTGTTCTACCTTTTGTATTTAGCTAACCACCGCCGACCGCCCTTCCCGTAACCACCACCAAAAGAGTCAGCCTGTTATTTATTGCTGTATCCATAAAAATTGCAACAAAACACCGAAAAAAATCCCTGAACGCGAGCAAAAAAAAAAAATATTAGGTAATAATAAGAATCTATATATTACATTTTTGTTTTGTGTTCAGGTCACAGGATTTTTTTCCCCCGTTAAAAAGGCGAACAACAAACATACAATTGTGTTTTAAATGTGCGATTATTATATATAATAATATATACCTACCTCATATATATTATGTATATATATGAGATAATTGTTTTTTCTTTAAAACCGTGGGATGAAATTAATTTAATTTCCCTTTCTATTTTCAAATCGTTATTTATTTTCATATTAGGAATACAAATTCAAAATTAAATCGTTAATAAAAATAATAACATGGTTCTTGTAATTAGTTTTAAAATGCCCAAGTATTTGTTATTCGAAAAGGTTATTCGTTATAGCATAAAAATCAGTACTTTGATGTCGACATATAAAACGAACTGTTCATATGATTCAGCGATTACCAACTATATTTAATTACTGTTTATGACTTGTGTTCTATTCGATAACAATTATTATAGAATTTTCAATTTAATACGACCTCGAGAAAACATTAAACACCACACGTGTAATAGGTATACTCGCGCGTATCCTTATAGTGCCTTCAGTTTAATATATTGTTTGCCAGCCGAAATTCAAATGAGCTTTGAAGTATGTGGTGCCATTGTTGGCTGTGGACAGCGATTTTTTGGGTGACAGCTTCGTATATCTGTGTGGATTTCACAGATAGTCAACAAAGTTGACGAACCCAAAACTGCAAAACGTTTCAACATAATGTGCATAGTAGTATATATTATGTCTACCTTATTGAACAACGGTGCAGGTAAGTATCTATATATAGCCACTGCTGTTACAAATATAATCATATGGCAGTCCATCCGATTCTTAGGTAAGGACGTATCTTATTTGTGTAGATAATTAGAAGGTATAATATTAATATCAAATAGTGTTTTAGTTAGTTTTTTGCTAAGTGCTTAAAAATAGTGTTTAACGACGGGCTCCTCCGGGAACAGCGTGACCGATCAAATTATTTTGATATACAAATTACAAGATGTTTAATCCTCCAGCATATGAATGTTATTTTTAAAATGTATTTGTTGACGGTGAAGTCTTTTGCTTTTTAGGCGATGAGTTATGGTATTGGTTGAGGGACTTTAATTATACAATAATTTAATTGTATTAAATGTGTGATAAATAGCAAACCATGTTATTGATAAAAGGCGTAGTACTTACCTATCTAATTTGTTTAACATTAATAAGTAATACCTACTCAGTATAAATAAAAATCATATTTTAATTTTTAAAACGATTTAAAATTTTTTTTAAATATTTATTTTTAAAAAAACTCATAATTTTTGAGACAATAAGTATTTACTGCTCAATAAATCATCCACTTCATACATCAAAGCTAATCCCGCTATTTATTGTACTGAACCAGTGCTAAATATAGTAAGTATATTATGAGCCCTACACTCGGGATGTTAAAATGTTTTCATCAATTTTCTTCTCATAAATGTTTTTGGTATGGTGTTAATAATATTGTACTTCATGTAGCACAATTGAAGAAGTAGAGTTATCGAAGATTTTATAGTCATTGACTAAAATCTGAGAAATTAATTATAATTTATAAATCTGATTAGCACTTCAAGTAGTCAAATTATTTTTCAACTGTAAATATATAATTAATTTTTAGTACAAAATTTTGATATACATACATTTTCAAATTATAATAATGAAAAATATCGATTTACTCGAGAAAAGCTAACAACAATAATGAATTTAAGTGTTATTTTTGTTGTGTGTATTTGGTTGTTTCAAATAAAGTCCACTGGGAAAAAAAGAATTTCGAAAAATATAGAGGTTTATATATTTTAAAATAGAAAGTTGTATCCATACTTTTATAGAATACAATCAAAATACTTGTTGCAGCTTACGAATGCGCATAATCTTGAGAAATTCACAACTCCTTGTTCTTTGATTACTCAATTCAATAACTTACAATGGATTTAGTTGTACAATTATTCACTCATACATAAGTATTCAGTATATACTAACGTTTAATAATTGAATACTATAGCTGTATTCCATACTAAACCATGAAAGATTGAAGTATACTCAACATTATAATAATAAGTTAATTTTTTTTTAATTTAACCTCATTTAAGCATTTTGAGAAATTAATATTACGTGATTCAATTTCCCACTGAAAGAGTATACTCATATTATTGTATATTAAAAAATACTATATTTAAGTAACACCAATTAATAATGGGACAAAGAAATTTAGAAATGTACTCTAAATTTAATATCAGGATAAAAACGAATAAGAAATATTTCATTTCAAGTTCAGTAATTACACAAATGCCATGAATTCAATATAAGTTTTTAATTTTTTTAGCAAAAATTTAAAAAATAATACCAACACGATTAAAATTAAAATTCCTAAATTCCTATATTCAAACTCAATAATATGTTCGAACTAACATCGCTATAACATAGAAAACACACACACACCTATGAGACACAACGAGATAAAATAAATGCTGTCTGCTATTTATTGTTATGAAATATACCTATATACAGTAAATACTAAAAGTACGTAACATAACAGTACGAGCAGTAATTAATTTAACTTCACTAAAACAATATATTAATTTATACAACGACACCTGTGGGGCATTGGAAGGCATAATATTATAATAATATATATTTTATATATAATATTATAATCTATATTATATACACCATTAACAGGGTGATTCAACAATCATGTTCACCCATTCTACCCCATTGTTCCTTAAACAACGAATTATTATTCCAATTATGATTTTTGAAATTCTTAAATATACTTACTGACAGTTTTTGTAAGGCGTAATATTGGAATAAGTATTTATTGTTTAATTTTTAAAAATTATTAATGTTGATGGATTAATATTAATGACTTAAATTCTCATATTACTTTATCCCCATACATAATTGACCTATTACCATAGACCTTAGAACACAAAGTTAAACAGCTCAATATCCAACTGTACGAATTTCGAGTCCAATAGGTTAAATTTCTCAGAAAAAATATCTACTAAATAATTGAAAAGGGGATATTTATTTGATAAAACAGAAGTTTGTATCTCCACAGCTAACTTCTTAAGTAGTTAAAAAAATCCTTGGAATTTTAAAATATGGTCTTCAAGTATATTTAAAAATTCCAAACATCAGATCTCAAATAACTTCATTACTGAAGAAAAACATGGGGGTGAGCAATGAGCATGCTTGGTGAATCACACTTTACATACCTACATAATATTTTGTATGTGTATTTTTTTTCTATACGATCTTCAATGTTATTAAGGTATGAGTACCTATATCCATTAATTAAAAAATCGGACAAGATACAGACCAGCTGTGGAGCACTTATCAACTACCTACTCCCACTTCGGTCCATCTCAGTGCTGCAGGGCTGTAGTGATGTGTTATTTTTATTATTGTAATTAAATAAGATGACTCGTTAAATCATGACATTAAAAAAAAACCCCCCTTTTTCGGGTGGAACTTTTTTTACCGGTCTGTAATACAGTATCTATACGATTATTGATAATATTTATTAATTTTTAACCTATTAACGAAATACAGTTGAACATAATATGTTACGGACATTGTAGGCAATTTAATACATTGTCCGGTCAAAGTAAATATTCCCCGCGTCGCTCAAAGTTTAATAAGAACGTCAAATGTTTTATAAATATTTTAAATATTAATTTTAAATTAAAAAATGAATTATAAATACTAATGTAATTAACTGTTAAAATCTAACGCGTTGTAAAAAAAATTTAAGAGTTTATTCATTATTATAATATAATATAAAATACACCTAATAAGTGTGTCAATTATACTCATTACTATTACTATTCTACTGTCATTGGTGAAAAATATACCTTAAAATATTTCACTTGGAGTGTCGAAGAAAACTTCCATTTCAATGTTTCGAACCAAATTGAAGATGTATTCTTCTTACGGGTTCACAATTGATCATGTTGCCATCTCAATTACCAAACACAGCTATAATCATAAAAATAGAAAATATGTCACACAAGTCGCTTATCTTTGATTACAAATGAGCTCGAGGAACATACAAATTGTATTAACAATAACTCTAATACAGAATTATAGTCTAAACAATGTAGCCATTAACTTTTATTAATTATACCTATATATCAATATAAATGAATTTAAATACGAAAATTCCACTTTCTTTAATGATTTGGATTTTGCCCTCAAAAACGGAGACATCTTTGCAATCAATGTTGAGGCTTTATAAAAATAAAAACAAATATACCCGTGATAACAATCAAACAATACGATGTCTCAGTTGTTAATGATCGTGTCCTACTAAATATCTCCCAAAATGTGCTCGTCGTGGCAATAAACACTTGTCCAATACATATATCCAAAATCATGGAGCTCTTCAGAAAAATGTACTATTTAAGGTAGTGGCTTTTCTGATAACTGCCCTGCTCGTGAATGCGCCACTCACATTAAATTCTAGACTAATCTACATAAAAAAATCTATCAAAATTAAAAACCAACATTACCTCAACTAACATCAACCTAGTTCGACAGATTCAAATCAAACTCACCATAGGGAGCTTCAGTCTTTAGATGATTAAAATAAAATATGCAATCATGCCAGCCCATATTATTTTTAATAATTTTTTTTTTCTATTAAAAAAACAATCATTAAAATAAAACAATTATAATTATTAATTATAGTATCTTCAGGTAAATTTCTTCAGTGAATTAAAAATAATAAATATTTATAATCTCCAAAATATTATAAAAATGTAATTTTTTTAATTTTCGAGTTATCTATATACCTACTCTAATATTTTTTATGTTTGTGTTCATTGTAATTTCTGTTTATTAGAATAAATTTATAAAAATTATAAATGTATAATATAAATGGATAAAACCCAAAACTTAATCAATTATTTATGCACGTATGGTTTATTTTTGTAAGCTCTTCTAACCGCTGGGTCAGCATGTTTTATTTCATTTTTAATTGGTTTCAACTAAATTGCAATTTATTTTATACTACCTACACCATGTTTTTAAATAAATTGGTATTAAAAACGAAACAATTTTATTAATATTATAATTATACTATGAGTAAAGGAAAAAAATCGAATAATGTCACTCGTTTGCGAATTGTCTAATTTATTAGTTAATTCTTTTAGTATTCGCTGTTGGATACGACTGTCAAGTAAGTAGTGTAGCGCTGGTCATCAATTGATGCCATTCTGTCACCGATCGTAAAACCATTTCAAACAGTACTCAAATAAAGATAAACAAGTCACTCTCAAATAGATCGTTTCTCTGGAGAATTGAAAAGAGACGTCAGTTACAATAACAAACAATGATACAGATGGGTTGACGTAAGTATAGCATGCGAACACTTCAGCCGATTTTCTGATTTTTTTTTTCAATTCAAAACTATCCAACAATAAGAACCATTACTTTATACAATCGTTGAAAACCAAAGAAAACTGTTATTTGTCTGTGAATGAATAATCAAACTTATTAAAGATTGGCTTAAAAAGGTAAATGAGCTAACTATGATAAATTTCTGATAAAAAATAAATTAAATAAATAGGTAAGTTCAGACTCGACGAAAAAAAATTGATGAAAAAATTATTGTGATAGTCACTTGACTAATTTTAATTTAATCAGTGCCTACTCTCTGTGTATTGGGCGTTATGAATTAAATTCATTAATTAAACAAATAATAATCAATAATTAGTGTGATATCATACGATGCATTAAGACCTAAACCAAATGGCGATAATTAACAATCAATCGAGCATTTTGTACTTTAATTTTATCCCAATCTTTTTTTTATCTTTTATACATTCATTTACACTTAATTTAATTTACCAAATATTCTCTACCTTAATAATGGTCATTAACATTTAAACATAGATACTTGTAATACGAATCAATTTACTGTACTTGAGTCTCTTTTTTTGGTTAAGATTTTTTTTTTATCTGCATGCACCATATGCCATGCTTATGAAATAATAATAATTATTACGATTATAACATATTTATCAATTATAATTATCGTTGATACTATTAATAGCTTGACCTAAATAAATAAATAAATAATAACTTAGGTTAAACAAATATAATTCTCAACTGCTGTTTGTTAATAAATGTAAATAAACATTTTCGGCATGAGAATATATTTTATACATAGGTACGAGTTGTAAATTCACTCAGGAAGAAAAGTTTTTTAATAAGCTCAGTCTTGTTTTTCGCGTCCCGTTTTATACCTAGTGTCCTCTTAAAATGTGCTTATTAAATAAAAGTCGTAATGGGGTTTTTATTCTTCTACAACCATTTCGTTGTAACTTTATTGTTCATAGATTATCTACAAAAACTATAATATTGTATTTACATGAAATGCCCATAAATTAACCGTGTTTAAAACTTTTAATGTTCTTTTCGTCCGCATGATATCTGCAGTAAGGTAGGCACTAAGGGAACGAGCGAATTGAACAGAGTTTAATAATCTATGTCGGAAATAAAAAAATATTTAACAACAATATTACAGTACCTATACATACCTATACTCGTATGCTGAAAATATGCATTACTTGACTACTCGTTCCAAATTATTACCCACATTTTACATTATTATTATAGTTACCACGTACACGGTTACAACAACAACCAAAAACTGTATTAAAGTGTTTCGAAAGAACATCGTCGTTCGATCTCGCGACACACGGCCGCACTCGCTGCCATGTTTTCCATATAATTATGTACTTATGCTCGTACATATCAGTTCGTCAGTGAAACACATTTTATATTATAATATTGTATATGCTCATTTTTACTGTTCGTGTGTTATGTGAACTTAAAAAAAAACATTAAATAAAAGAAAAAAACAATGTTCAGGATATGTGATTCGACGACAAAATTCGGCCCGCGAACACTCGAAAACTTGCCACCCTAGTGTCGATCCCGGGCTGCAAGCACCGGTATAAGTAAGTATCTCAGTAAACTCGACATAAATCGCGACACAACTGGGAAAATATATAATACCGTACAAATCCGCATAGGTATACGCATTATATACATAATATAACGATTAGGTTAATCATATTCAATGGAACGTTTGAGAATTGTAAAATGAATATGATATCATTATGTGCTGTATGTGCAGGCGCAGGCCGACTGTAGAGACGAAAACTGTAAGAAACTCGAAAAAAACTTTACGTTCGCAATGTTGACTTTTCTTTTTTCGCCCCTCCGCTGAAGCTTATGTAAAAAAATAAAACACGAGTATATTATTATATTGTTATTGTTGTGTTGTACTAGCCGTATTGTTAAGCGACACTATACCTATAATATTATATACTAAAGTTATAATAAATATAATGTGATTAACCTAATAATACATGCCACTGTTATCTACTCCGATAGAGTTGATAACCGCAGTACATGTACCATTGTACCAACCCACCATAATAAATACTATTACACTACTTCGTCTTGTAATATTGCGCCTATTACCCGTTTAAACGATAATAAATAATACACATGAATAATATTATATATTATCTAAATTATGCGGTCATTTTTTAAAAATAAAATCACGATTTGGTACAGGGTCTAGACCCCCACTCCCTAACTAGTAGATAGAAATAACCCTCCCTCTATTTGTGTTTTTCCGTTATCTAAATTGTATACACGGTTTACATATAGATAGGTTAAGTACATAGGTAAATAAATACACTTATGCATTATACTAAATAATGATTAAAACATAGACCACGTATACGTGTTTCCGGAATACTGCAAAACCACTAGATCGAGTAGATTATTACAGATTTCGGTATAAATTAAAACAAAAATAAAAAATAGTCACACATTCAAGCTTTGCGTATCGCACACGCTCATTTGTAAGCTAAGCTTATTTGCAAATTATGTAACGTCTATTTCATACTTTTGTAAGACCAATTTTAAAGACTATAATAATAATTTTTTTTAGTACAGTTTGTTTAGTAACTAAGAAAGTACCTACTAATTTAAGTTTTAAATTAGATACATCAATATTTTCAAAAAAATATCCACTAAATAATTAACAGTAAAAACCGTTTCCATTTGAAAAGCAGAAAATTGTTTAGGCACAGAACTTTCTTAAGTAATGCAAGAAAAAAAAAATTCAAGAAAATGTTGCATCGGTGTTGCACGGCGCGTCAGGAGATATGTTTCATTACACACTCCGTACAGTTATATTACCTTGGGTCGCTATGATAACTAATATAACTACTATTTAAAATCAACGGTACGATGTATGCAGGTTACACGCGATATACGTTATAATGCGTTTAAGGTGTAAACAAGTTCTTAACAGCTGCTAACGATGGTGTATCATAATATATCGTGTTGCACCATATTTTAGGAGAGTATTGATATTATTATTCTGCGTTACCAGACACCGTGGATAACAGGACGGTTTGGAAGGAATTATAAAATCGGATTTGTATTTGAAAAAAAAATATTTTATTCGAATTAAATTTAAGTAAAATGTTAAATGACGACAGCTCTTTTAAATAAATAAGTAAAATATTTTCTTTTATTCGAATCGAGAGAATAATATAATACGTGCCCACGTCTGGTTTGCCTTGGTCGATACGATTCGATTTCGTAATACATATACATATATAATATAGTACGGTATGGTATAATAATAATAATATGGTGTATGCAATTTTTCGGACAGGGGATTTCAATAAAAGACTACACGCAGATCACCATCACTGGATTCTTATATTTTATTTATTTTGATTATTTATTTTTAATACCAATCTCTAGACGGCGGGTGTGTGGTGGTCTCCCGATAGGATTTCATATATTTATATTTTTTTTTTTTTTCATGCGGTTAGAAAAGAAACGCATGGATAAAAAAAAACACACACTCGAATAATATATAATATGAAATGTACTATGATAAATTGAATATAAATATATGATATAATATAATACAAAGAGTT